AGTATGATTAGTACCATAAATCTGTTTGGGCTTTGATAATGGTAGCAGTTCTTTTTTTTTCTGGCAAAGAAGAAAGAATCCCCTACCAATTGCAAAGCTGTCCTGCAGTACAGCTTGTAATCCTGTAGACGCAGCAGTAGATGTTACGATGATAGTGTATTTATCTATATATAGCTCAAAGCCTTGGCAAATGAGCCACTTAATGAGGATGGAATTAAGGTCTTTTGAAGACATAGTGTTTCTTGCTGTCCACCACACTGGACATTTCTACAACTTTTTTCTCAACTTGCGTTTGGCAAGGCTGGGTCTGGTATCAGTTGCCATAGTGTAAATCAGGAGGAAACGCAGTGCGTTAAATGCCACTTCTGTGCCAGGGTAGGGTTACAATTGGGAGCTTTCACCACGCAAGAGCTGTTTCCCTTCAAAACTGTTCATTCACAATTCCTTTCACTTTCATGTCTGGGCACGTTAGATTTTAGTCCCTTTATTTCTTTCACATTACATTTTGTTTGCCCTTTCCTTCTGCTTGTCTTTTTCAGCTTTCTTTTCTCTTCCACAGTAACATGCTTTAAATTGAGGTGGATGGGATGTCTTTTTGAAAGACTTTTCTTTCAAGTACTAGGTTTGCTATAGTCAAATGCAAATAAGTGACTTCAAGAGTTTTCACTTGGTGGAATATATATCCAGCATGATACACTAGCAATTGTTTTTCAATGATCTATTTAACTTTTGGGGGGGGCTAAGACTTTCTGAAGCTATAAAAAAAAAGCTGTGGGAAAACATGTTACCAAACGTGGCCTTTTTTTGCCTCTTCATTACTTGGTTCTTGTTTATTTTTTCAGTGAATGAAATTAGAATTTCATAACTACCGACTAAACCAAACCTCATGGTTTAAAAGGGAAGCACAATGCAAAACCTTGGGAGATGCAGTTTTGCTCATGTGAAAAGTAATGGTTAACAGTAGTGTAATAAGGGTGAAAAGAGTCTTCCAGAAAAAGACCTTCCCAGAGATATTTTAAGACCTTAGGTCATGAGTTAGGTCATGAGCTCCTTAGCATTTGGTGAGGCATCTGAGTAGACCCTTGGGTTATAGATGAGGACAGGTGCAGAAGAGAGGGCTATAAATACTTTTACCCTTAAGGAGTTCACAGGCTGCAGAGAGTTGCCTTCTTGAATGACAAATCGGACAGAAACATGTTACTTCTGAAGGGGAAAATTATTTTAATGGTTTTAGAAGAATTTGGATGCTTGTTTTCCAACATGTTTCCTGGTTTTTACATTTAAAAGTTAGGATGTTCTTCATGGTTACCTTAAAATATGGTGGAAAGTCTTTTAGAGGGTATAACGCGTTTATCCAGCGTGCCTGGCACGTTGGGGGTATTTCTGTGCTCGTCCGCTGCCCACTGGGCTGCGCACAGAACTGGTCGTCAGGACCGCGACCTTCTATTTTAAGGCTTGAGTGCCTTAAGGCCTGAGTGTGTGTGAGCAGTGCCCTTGGCGGGAGTTCTGCCATTTAGACACATCTAGAAATACTGTCTATCGGCTCGTTTTGTGCGAGGCTCCACACACTAACTGTGATGGTAAAACCTGCCTATTGTTTCATTTGTTTTCCAGGTGGTTTTCCGGGTGGTTTTGGTCTCCTCTTTCTTGATGTTATGCCACACGTGTGTGGCTCGCTTGGCCCAGCATGGACCTTCCAGCTTCCCAAGGGCTGCAGCTCTCAGAGAGCTTTTGAGTGAGTTTGTGATTTTATTCATTTGCCTCCTTCTGAGCGAACACTCCATTTCTTCCCAGGTGAAGCCTATGGGACTGTGCGCTCACTCCGACTGACCTAATTTGAATCCTTAATCATCTTTTAAGATGACTTTCCAGAGAACTGGCAGAACCAGTTTGAGTATGAAGTTCGGTGTCATTTCCTGCCTATTCTATGAAAAAAACCCCAAAAGTAATTCCAGCCTTGCCAGGAAGGGCATGTTTGAAGTCTTTCCCAGTTACTGCCTCCACCTGCCCTGTTGGCTCTTCTCAGAATGAGAAGGGCTCTGACCAAGCTCTGCCCCTGCCCGTGGATATGTGGCATGACAGAAGCATCACGATACCCAGCCCATCCTGGGAAGCAACACCATTTAGTTATTAACCCCAAAGTGCCTATTCACATCGCCCATTCATGCAAGGAAGAAGGGAGTTAAAAAAAATATACGCACATATATGTGCATATATTCTTTCTATGTATATATGTACATATAAATATATATATGTACGCACATTTCTCTGGCTCCTTTAGTTGGCTATCTGGATTTGTAAAAGGCCTGATTAAATGAGCAGAATTCAAAATGAGTGCAGTAGGTATTTCCTTTTTATTAACCTCTCTTGTTTCCCCAGAAGCAAGTAAAACTGCTGTTAAGGACTTGCTGCACCTATCACGAGCGAGATGGAAGAAAAAAATGTAATTGCACCATTGCGGAATTGATGTTATCTCAAAGAATCAACTTTTTTTTTTTTCAGTATACCAAATTAATCTGCAAACAATCTTTCTTCGAGTATCAATTAAGGAGGGAGAGACTACACAAGTGACTTGATTTCTAAGCCCATCTTTCTTAGCCAGCTGGAACCAAACTCCCCATGCAGTTGAAGCCGTTAGTGAAAGGTAGGATGAGCATGTTTGCACGTGTTTGTGCTTTACATATTCCCTCTACCAGAAAAAAAGAATTGTTTAAATTGCCATTAAAATTCAGCCCCATGGATGCAGAGTTTCTTGATGCAAACAAAGCTTATTAATTAGACATTTTCATGTAAATGGAGACGCGAGATTTTATTTTTCTGCAGAGGTGATGACATCCAGCAGGTATTTTTTTAAACCGTGGGCTCCTTTCCTCCCCACGTGCCTCATACTTTCTTGTATGTCCCAGAGGTTCCCTGTCACCCTTGGGAAGAAGGGAGCTGCGCAGGGACCCTGTGAGAGCCTCTCAGCACCCCTCCCACATTAGCCAGACAGGACACTGTTTGCTTAATTTCGCAAGACATTTGCTCTACGCAACAGCAAAAGTGCTGCCTCACAGAACTCCCAGCCATGAGGCTTGACACTTGTTAAGGATTTTTTTTTTTTTTTTTGGTGACAGGAGTAAGTTATCTTAACCAAGGAACAAAGTGTATTGATGCATTTCATAATGCAGTCAGGTTGTTGAATACAATGTAACTAAGTGACTTTCAAATGCTTCACTATGCTTGCTTAAGAGAGGCCCTAATCTACTCTAATTGGCTTTGCAGTAAATGCAAAGGGAAAAGTTGGCTGTAAATAAATCTGCAGCCTTTTGCAACAGTCCACTTGTCTGCTGCTTTTAAAAATCCACGCCAGTGCATTGCTGTTTATGTTTTCATGGGTTTAAGTAGTATTTTCTTAGGACCCGACAGGTATGGACTAATGAATAATGTCTATACAGAGGAGAAGAAATTTCACTCCTGGACTAATGAATAATGTCTATACAGAGAAGAAATTTCACTCTCCAGGAAGGTTTCACTTAAGAGTTTTTGTTACTGTCTTCATGAGTTTGGATAGGAGAAACCATCCTTTCTTTAGTTAGGCATAAGGAAAGCTTCTACTTTGGCAACTTCTGGCAGCAAAATGCCCTTGCTGCAGTGCCTGGCTGTGACCCTCCCTGAACCCGGGATATGGTTACAAACGCATCCAGGTTCTGGCTTTTCTGGAGAGCGGAGCTGGAAAAGCAGCAGTTGGAGCCGTGGGAGGTCGCAGCGTTGCTGCAGCGTGCCCTGCCGAGGTGCGGCGTCACCTCCAACGTTGGCTTTGTCCAACGGCCCCACGGCCCCACCAAGGAGAGCAGCGGAGCCACCCTCCCTGGTGCTGCCAAGTAGTCTCAGTTTGGCTGAGCCACCGACAGCAACAGGGAGGGATTTTGGTGCTGCGAGTGTGAGCGCAGACAAAGAGGTTGCCTAATTCTCTGTGTTGCCGCGTCCTGCGGGGCTCGTGCACAGCTCCGCTCCCCACACGGGTCCGGGGAGCACGCAGCGGCCGGGCACGTGTTGCGCCCTGCCCGGCGTGCAGGGAGACCGGCCACAGGCCAGGATGGGCCTCCACTTAATTACAGGTTATTTCTCTCCGGATTGCTCCAGC